AAGCGCGATTATAACTATGGAAAGCGCTTTAAACCACTTTAGGGTAACTTACAGAGCGGATATGAATGCTATACAGTTAATGCGATTCTCGACGTCGACGAGTTTGTTGAGCTGTAGAATAGCACTAAAGAGCTAACGTATTTGCATACAGTCATAAATTCGTAAGTATTACGTAGAACTTACTCAGCAGTGTCTAGCGGTTTTTCCACTGCCTGATATTGTACATTGAAGACATCTTCCAAAAAGTCAATTGGTGATTGTCTCATATTCTTGATGGAGTCATTCAGATTGGTGAATGAGAGTGTATGTCCATATAACCATAAACCCAGACTTGAAACATGGGCTTTTTCATAGAGATTGTAAGCAAGCTCACTCAGAAAGTCTTTTTCCTAAATGAGTCAAATCTTAGTCTTCCTGCAACAATAGTCTCCGTATTGATGTTATGCAGACTGACGTCAACAATTTATCTTTCTTATAGAGCTGAACAAACTGATGAAAACTTACTTGATCATACGCGGTCTCATTGGCGCCAAAATTGAAGAAGTCGCCAACCAAAAGGCAGCGCGTAATCTTTGGTTCTGGAAACAATCAAGCAGTATCCAGTAGAGGTAGTATTTAAACTTTATTAGTTTTTGATTTTAATATTCCTTTTGGTTCTTTGCTTGCCCGCCCTTTACCGCCGGGTTGATTTCGTACCCATTTTAGCTGCTGTTCCCACCTTGAAAGTGGTTCCTCTCTATTCCATTCAAACCATAAAGCGGAATACAATCAAGATACATATATTCCTCAGTCATCATAATCGCTTGGAGGCTATAGAGAATGGTCATATCGCAATAGTCCCAGTTCTGGTCTTTATCCTATTTGAGAAATAAATCATGTACCTCATTATACAAAAATTTCCACTTCAGAGGTTGGCTGTCTCAGTATCGACTTAATTTTGCCTCCTTTCATTTTGCAGGGAAAGGTTATCTTTTGTTTTTTCACAAATACAACCAGCTGATAGTAATTTGCAGGTCCTCTATTCAAAGAGGACCTGCAAATTACTAACAAACGTGCCGCCACAGCTGGTTCCTCTTCCGCAAAACGTCGTATTGGCATAGAACACACTGAAATACCGCAAACCTCGTATTGTAGAACACACTGAAATACAACCAGCTGAATTATTCCTCAGTAGCGGTTAAACGAGCATGCTTTAACTTTAGAAATGCGACAAGGAAAGGACTTCTTCGTGAGATAGAAGCGTATCACAAGATATAAGCGCTTGAATCAGGGCTCCACTTGAGACACTTTTCGCTTTTTAAACTTTTTTTTCTATCACCCATCCAAGCCTTGTTAGACCATTTTCATTTTATCTA